TCCTTCAAGAGATGTTCAAGGAATTTGTCGTGGTGGCAAACAAGTTTCTTATAAGTATGATAGGTTCTTAGCTTTTTTTGATACTAATGTAGCTAAGAGGTTGGCAAACAACAACAATTAAGAAATTGTTATCTTGAATTAATATACTCTTGACTGAGTTTAATAGTTTATTATTTTTTATAATTGATGTTAATGAACATATTATATTTTGTTAATGGTCATTTTTTCTTATGGTAAGTAACATTTCAGTAAAAGCCTTTTAAAAGTAAAAAATGTTTAATGAACATTTATAAAATGCAATTAGCGTAACTACATACATATAATATTCTGGTAATGAACATATTATGCTGCTTTAATGAACATATGAAAATATATATTTCATAAACAAAGTCATTTGAATATAAAGAAACATGAACTTAATATGTCTTTTACACACTATAAAAAGATATTACTGTATATGTAAATGATCATTTAACAATTCCCAAATGGACAAATATATGAAATGTCACTTTTATAGTTAACTATTCTTCCATAAATCTTCTTGCTCCTCTTCTGTTGTTTCTAGCTTCTGTGTTATCTTGAAAGAGCATCAATTGAGCAATGTACTCAATTCTTAGCTTCCTGATTTGGTTTATCTGTTATACAAATATATTATAATGTCAATATGTTTATTCATTGTTATGAAAATGAACATTGTTTGCCTTTAAGTCTTAAAGTCACTTACATTATTTCCCTTCAAGTCACAAATTCACTACTCTTTAGGATCAGCTGTAAACATTTCCATATGCTTCATTATATAAACCCCACAGTTGGTGTGATCTTGATTACTTCTCCACTTAATCTTTTCTAAGACTACTTTATAGTTTTCAATCTGATTTTCATCCTCATATCCCAATGATATGATATACTCTGCCATTGCTTTTAACTGAAATGTACATAAAAATTTATTATCATGTTGTTTTCAGTTTATACAATATGAGTAAAATTTGTTGAGTTACGATTTTTTGTGGATGGTCAACATATTTCTCAGATATAGGCACATGTTGTGGCAACTTTATATTATCAATTATGTGAATCTTCTCACTGATATGATTTATGCATATTAGATAGAAGTGTTGAGATGATGAAACTGGGAAAAAACCTGCAAAATTAAGATATTTTGAACATTTTATGATATACAAATGAAAATATTCTAATTGAATATTTTAAAATATTTTTTTATACCTAATTATAGCCCACAATGCTATCAATCTTATAAATCTTCAATTCATTGTCAATTCTCCCTTTGAATTTATTGATTCTTTCCACCATACTTGTTTTATAGTCACAAACATTGTAAGAACACATAATTTACTGCATTTAATATGTAATTTTTAGTCAATATTAATGTAAATATTAATAAATAATCATTGAATTATATATAGAAATATATATATATATATAGATACTTACATAAGTGATGAGGCATTGTAGAGAAATAATTTTTTTTTTTTTTAACTTTTTATGATTCAACAATGTTGCCCAGGAATCTATCACACAATTCATTACTTGTACATCATCACCAAGTGTTTGCATCTCTTTTCTATTTATGAGATTTATCCCATCATAACAGAGTAATGCACTGTTTTTTTTTTATAAAAAAAAAACAATTAATAATGATCATAATATATTGTATTAATGATCAAATTTAGACAAAAATATGTGTACCTTTCATCTTTTCCAGTAAGAGCAAAGTCACACACAATTTGTTCATTTCCTTCTCATCCATGAACAAATCATTATATTTCACCATGTACAGAGAACGAAAGGCAAGAGGAACATTAGGAGTTTTGCGCTAAGGCCTTTAAATTTCTTTTCCTTTTCCTTCGTTACCTTTGTCTTTCCTGTTTAAATTAAATAAGAAACAAATTGTTAATGAACATTAATGTATTAATATATGAACATTTATCTGATTAGAATAATATGATAAAATAAAAGTATTTTTCCTTTTTTCTGTATCAAGTTACCTTTTCTCCGTATTTATTGTTGCTTTTTGACATACCAATGTTTGTTTCTTCTCTCTTTCACTAAATCATTTACATTTTGTAAATGAAAATTAAGATATATAGGAATTATCATTTCTATATATGAAAATGAACATTTAAATATATAGTAATGATCATTTATATTAAATTTAATATTTTTGAGATTTTAACATTATTTAATCTCTTACCTTGTTTTCACTGAAACATAAAAGAGAACTGAAATGAACAATCATAAATTATCAAATGTTCATTCTAAATAACCATCGTTTTAAAACACTCAAAATACTTACAAACTTAAATTACATAATTATAATACAATAATTAACCCTAACAGTAATTGTTCTTAGCAAAATAAATAACCATAACCCTAATTGCTCTTAGCAAAATAAACAACCAGCCTTAATAATTACATATTTAATTGTTTTGAAAATACATAGGCACTGAATAAATCTTGAGAGTTTGGTGAGGTTTTTCATATTACCCCTGTCCTCCTTGTTTTTCTTTTTCAAGAACTTCTTCTAGAGATGGGCATTGTGGTGGTGAGGATAAATGCTTCAAAACATGCATCATAGACAATTTTTCCTTCTATGGACATCTCCAAATCAATATTAGCATCTGGTGTTAGAAAAAAGCTATTCTGTGGATCACCTAAAGAAGTTGCTGTCTCTGGAAAAAAATACAAAAAAAAAATTTATTACAAATGAACAATTTGCATGTAAATGAACAAATTTACTGCAAATGAACAAATTTTACCATTTCCAGTAGATTGATGAACTTAAGTTTCTATAGAAGGCATGGCTTCTTTCGTTGAGGTTGTTGCAGCTTTTTATGTATTCAATAAAAATAAAAATAATTATATTCTTCGAATATATAAAACAAAAATTTTAATTGAAAAGATATATATTACATATGATTGGAGATGGGGGTATTAAGCCTACACCTAAGCTGAAAGCTTTCTTTAGGTTGTAATCTTCCACTTTTCCTTTTTTTCTTTTTACCTTATCAATTGCTTCTAAGAAATCCCTTTCAACCTGGGCTATTGCATTCAAGAAATCGACTGATCCATAAATGTCTTCATCTTGGCTCAAAATTGACTGCTACCTTGCCATTTTACCCAATACTTAATCAACCTTCTTTACCAATTCATTTTCAGGGAACATCTCCTTGGCTTTGACTAGTTTTGTAGAAAGTTTAAATAAATTTGTACCAACTTCACTGACTAATGATACAAAATCATTCATGAAGATCTACATAAAAATAAAAAAAAATAAAAAATAATAAGCAAGTATTTAAATATCAGGAAAAAAACATTTAATAATATATTAAAGATCAAAAAGAGTAATAAAAATGAACATTTATATAACTTGAGGACTGATTTTAGTTTCCACTTCATTTCTTGGAAGGATTCTTCCCATTCCAAATCCCAAATCCTTCTATGTTTTTTTCCTCTTCAGAGCAATATCTCTTTTCCATACAAATATTATTGTTATTGTTCTTGGAATCTTTTTGTTCAACCTTTGAACACTGTCAAAGTAAAACAGCTAAACAAAATAATTTAAATCAGTAGTCATTATATAAATGAACATTTTACTTTATATATATGTGAGCATTTACCAAAACAAAATTGTGTACAACTTTTAATACAAATTTTATGTTTAACATTTACTAAAACAAAAGTTTTCATAACTATTAAGCATACAATACAAAAGCTTATTAAGTACCAACCATCAGAAATTGTAGTGGCCCTTTGTAAATATCCTTTGCAAGCTTGCTTTCTCCATTTGATATGGTTTTTGATCAAAGCATCATATACATAATCACACCAAGCCAAGTTTCTTAAATTGTTATGTTCAATCATTAATATTAGAAACTTGAAATGGCACTGATTGTTTTGAATGCAACTAATTAAAGAATTGACAACCACCACCAAGAAGTTTGAGAAGAAATCTTCTTCATCTGGTATGTCATCTTTGTAGTCATCACTTATATACCTTATAAGAATCTGGTTTACAGAAGGAGTTTTACCAGACCACTTACTCCTCCATTTCTTCAAAAAGAGTCCAAAGTCATCACTTGCTTTGTCAGATTTTGCATTTACAATAGGGATTTCACCCATTGGCAATTCATACATTATCCTCACATCTTCAACATCAACATCAATTTTTTCTCCATTTTTCAACTAAAAAACAGAAGCACTCTCTTCAAAACTGTCCAATATCCAGTGGTAGAATGCTGTGTGTCAAACTGAGGTAGTTGGATATCAAGTAATGGCCCTAATCCAATATATATCACTTTCTGTTTTTGTTTAATAGTCATTTTGGCACCCAAATCATTAATTTGACATGCCCCCCTCTAGATGAACACTTTTCTTTCTCTTCCTCATATTCTTCTATGTCATCATCAACTTTCACAACTTCTCTTTTTATCCTTTTTGCAGTTGGTTGTGGTTCTACAATGGCTAGAGCTTTTTCATATTTTGCTCTCTTCTTTTTTGGATTCTTTTCTTCTTCAAGATCTTCAAATTCATCCTCTTCTTCTTGATTCTCTTCTGTTTCCTTGAAGTTAGTATCCTAACTATCCTCTCCACTGTCTGTAGAATCTTCATCCGATGAAACTTCATCAAGCTGTAACTTCCTCTTTCCAAGAGTTTTTTTTTTTTTTTTTTTTTTTTTTTTTTTGTGTAGAAGATTCAACATGTTCTACGAAATGAACAAATATGTTAATATAAATGATCATATTATTTTGTGTAAATGAACAATATTCTAAATTTGCTAAGATGTACCTTCTTTCTTTGTAATTTTTTTCACTCCCCCTTTGGTAGTTCCAGCAATTCTTTTTTTACCACTTGTATAAATTTTTCAAATTGTATACATGTAAGTATAAATAATAAAATTGAACATTATAGTTTTATAATATGAACAATTACCTTCTTGTTTCTTTTTCCTCTTTGCAGCAACAAGCGCAATATCTTTTTTCTCAACCACTCCGGTAGCTTTTTTCCTCCTTTGGAGCAGCAGGGGCAGCAAGAGTTCCCCTTTTCCCCTTTGCAGCAACAGGGGCAGAAGTACCTTTTTTCCTCTTTGCAACAGCAGGGGAAGTAGGAGTGCCCTTTTTCCCCTTTGGAGCAGAAGGGGAAGTAGGAGTACCTTTTTTCCCCTTTGGAGCAACAGGGGCAAGGAGGAGTGTCCTTTTTCCCCTTTGCAGCAGTAGGGTCTGGAGGAGTGGTCTTTGTTTCAACATTTGTCATTGATGTGTATATGAACATTGTAATTATTAAGTATGAACATTGTATAAATATTTGAGCTTTGTATTTTACATTACATAAGAGGTACAAATATTACCTATGTCTTTACTTCTTGTTTGTCTTCCCACATGGATTTCATTTAGTTCGTTATTTTTTGTTTTTTAGAACTCTTCTTGCAACCATTTTGTATCTTGTTGTCTTTTGTGATGATTCTTCACTTTTTTGTGAAGCTTGAAGTTCATCATTTTGCATAGCTATTTCTCTTTGTTCTAATTCTGTTTCATCCTCGACAATCACTGTACTAAACTTTTATACAATTAATGTATTTAAAAGTATTAATATAAAACAAATAGATATAAATTTTACCTTTAAAATCTTTTGTTATAACTTTTTTATACTCAACAGGTTTCTTAGCATCTTGTACAAGTTCATTTGATTCTTTTTTTCCCCTCTTACATCAAATATATGTTTTTCCCATGTTAAATAGAGCAAATATATAATTGCATAAATAATGTTCATTTACTTTTTATATATGAACATTTTACCTTCAACAGGTGCTTTGCTTGCAACTGCTTCCTCCTATACATGATCTAGTTTATTTGAATCTTTTAGACCCTCTACATATAAATTCATGAGTTTAGTTAAATTTCAAAGTTTAGACTTAATTTTCAATTTACTTTTTATTAATGAACATTATTACCTTCAATATTGCTTTGTTTAAAACTGATTCCCCTTCCTTCTTCTCATGATCTGGTTCCTTCTTGTCATGATCTGGTACCATTGAATCTTTTGGTTCACCTAATATATCAAATACAAGTTTTCATATATTAAATTCAAACAAATAAATAATCTCATACATGTTCATTTTAGTTTTTATAAATGAACATTTCTACCTTCAGAATTTTCTTTGCTTACAACTGCTTCCTCTTCCTTCTTCTCATGATCTGGTTCCTTTGAATCTTGGTTCACCTAACATATCAAATATATGTTTTAATATATTAATAACAATCAAATAAATAATCTAATTAAAAATGTTCATTTTAGTATTTATATATGAACATTTTACCTTCAGCTTTTTTTGCTTTAGCTTGCTCTTTTTCAGCAGGTGATTTCTTTCCATCATCAGCTTTATCTTTTTTCTTTTTTAATAACAAATTCTTATTTTGAAGCTTTTGAAAAATTTTCTGAGTTGTTTTTGCTAACTTTCTGTAAAAAAAAGATGAGAAGAACAATATTAGTTGAAACATTATAATGTATTTATATATTATTTATCATTAAACATTATGAAACTAAACATAGGCTGGATTTTTTCTTGCATTATGTTGGACTGTTTTCATTTTTTTGTTTTATTTTCAAATAAAATTACAAATATTAGAATATAGCATAAAAATTAAACAATTTATTACGATGTATTGTAAAATGTATACCTCTATATCGTTTTTTGTTGTACTTAAGTAGAACTGTGTACAATAACTGATGAATCTCTGAAAAATTTGTTAGACATATAAGTCAATATAAATGATGCTGAAAATGTTTATATTATATAGTGAAAATGAAAATTTGTTACTCTATGCATACTTACTCCATGTTCACTGAAAAATAAAAAATGGCTAGAATATAAAATTAATCTTTTTAATTTATATAAATTATTATTTTATAAGTTCAAAATGAACATTTACCTTTTCTGTATCTTTTCAGAAGAAGTTGATATCCCCTGATCTATTTCTCTGCATTGTTTTTGATTTTCAATAGTTATAATTAAATTTTAGTTTCAATATGATTAATAGGAAATGTATGTAAAAGTGATTAATTTTAATATATTATATGTAAAAATGATTAATTTCATAAATAGTACTAAAATTTAATACTTTATTGGTTCACTTGTCTCTGGCCTTGATTATTACATTATAAATGTTACCTTCATCTTTATTTTTTTTTCACTAAAATTTTAAGAATGATTTTAGATAACTGACATGTATATAATAATAGTTATGTAAATAAAAAAATTGAATGTTTATTAACTTAATTGGGGTTTAACATGTTTTTATCAAAATATGGTTTCCACCAACTACAATGGTTTTCCTTTTTTCCCATTGGAAATAATTGATGGCATAATCTCTTGTTTAATTTTAGGTTTAGAATTTCCATCTCTAAAGTTCATCATGTGTTTCACTTTATATGGTTCAACACTACAATATCAAAAGTTACTATCAATATATCAATTTGCATGCATATTAATATACTTGTTCATAAGGTTACAATAAAATATACTTGTTCATAAGGTTACAATAAAATGAACATTTCTATATATATTATGATAAATGAATATGTAAATGTTCATAATTTTATAGTAAAATGAACATTTATATATGTATAAATGTACAAGTTCAAACATGTATAATTATGAAATTAAAAATCAACAGTCAAAATGTACAACTTCAAACAGGTATATGAACATATAGTAATTCATAATTGATCATTATACCTAGGAATTGGAGACATTTCATTTTCAGCAGGACCACTGGACATTATTATGTCATTTAAAAGTTGAGGATCAATCAGAGGAGATATAGGTTGGCACTTTATTTCATCCCTGTTTGCAAATTTTAATTTTTTATTTTAATTTTACAAATTTCATCAAAATGCATGATAAATAACTTCAAAATTTAATCAAAATGTATGATAAATAACTTAAAAATTCGAAATTAAGTGAAAAATACTTACGAAACTGCAGCATATTTAATTTGTGGAACTTCCTTCTGTAGTCTACAAAAGAAATTACACAAATTAGTACTTTCCTTACTTGTTTTTGAACAAAATTTTAAAAAATTAAGGGTTTAATTCTTAAAATTCTTCACTTACAAATTTTCAGGTTTTGGATCTTCCTTTTGTGTTCTACAAAAGAAATTAAACAAATAAATTTACGGTTGAACAAAATTTCAAAAAATTAGGGTTTAATTGCAAAAATTGATCAAATGAACTTATGATTCTGGTTTTTCAGTAGATTTTTGTTTTGCTAGTGCATGTTCTTCTTGTAGACTACTCATTGTTGATGCGATTGTAACAAATTTTCAGAAAGTAGTAGGAATTATGCTTGTTCATAGGTTTGATGAGAGAGAAAATGCTTAGAAGAAAAATGTAGAATGTGATAAATTTTTCAATTTTTTTTATTCGTATATATATTTGTAGATTTTGCAGTTACTTGCAGTTATTGTGGTAAGTGGGTTGTAATTGCACAGTAATTGCATAGTTAGTGGTAAGTGAGTTTACTGTGGTTAGTGGGAGGTAATGCAGGTGGTTAGTAGGGTGTGGTTAGTGTGGGTAAAGGCTTTATTGTAATTTCAGGAGGGGGGAGTTGGTAGGAATGGCTAAATGGGGGTGTAGTGATTAGGAATTAGTTATGGCCAAAATACTAAAGTGGGCTTAAACCAGATTTTACCTACGGCCCAAAGATCATGTGGAGGGTCCAAAGGTTTAATCTTATTCCTAAACTAATTAGGATTTATTAGAAGATTCTATAAGTTTCTAAGCTTAATTATCCTTTTGAAAAAATAAAATCAAAGAGTTTGAAATTGAATAAAACTTTCCTTTTTTTAAGTCCTAATTCTATTTAGATTAAAGATGTTCAAAGAAAGTCATATATTATTTTCGTGCCTCATAATTTTTATCCAAATATTATATGGTTGGATAGATCTTGAAATTATCTTTCCAATGATGTATTATAATATTAATTCTGAGCTAAAACAAAAAATATATGAAAGAAATACGAAACTCTATCCAAAACTGACACCCTTCCACTTTTTCGGCCATATTTTTTTATCTACCAATTATTTTAGTCTGATTCTAATTGTGTTGGAAAGGATACTTCAATATCTTTCTAACAACATATTATATGACTTATTTGAACTTTTGGATCAAAAGATATGATAAAAACAAAATCCGCAAAAAATTTGTCCTAGCGCCAAACGACAGGTCTGTCGCCTGGTACTAATACCTGTCGCCTGGCACTGCTCCTGTCGTCTGGCGCTAACTCCTGTCGTTGACGACAAGAGGTCTTTTATTCCAAATTGGTTGGACTCGAACTATTTTCTATCTTATCCCGAGCTATTTTTTCAATAAATAGGGGTCGTATTTCCTCGTTTTTATTCACAACAACCATCATCTCTCTATTCTCTCTCTAAAAGCTAGAAAGCTTTCTCTCTCTCTCCATTCTTTTTCTAAACCTTCCCTTTTAATAAATTCCACATACATTAATTAGCTCTAGACACACCTTGCGTAGTTTGAAGTTGCTTTCGCCCTAGACGTGAAAGAAATAGGTACGAGGCATCGTAGTAAGTTCTTTAATTGTATTATTGATCTTTTGATATGGAATCATGCTTAAATTATTTTGTTGATTCCTATTATCTTTTTAGGTTTTTATATTGCTTCCTAATATCATGTTTAGAGTAATAATTAAAATTTCTAATATCATGTATATTATTATGATGCTTCCTATTTCTTTCCTAATATCATGTAAGTGTCATGTTAGAGCTAATTGATGTTTCATGTTTAGTAACATGCTAGGGTTTGTTATTAATCTTGTTAGTATCATGCCTAGGATCTTGATATTATTATTAAGCTTTGATATGATTATGATGATTATATATTATTATTATTATTATTATTATGATGATAATTGTTATTATGTTGCTTGATATTTATTATTGTTATTGCTTGGTCACACCTTTTATGCATGTTTAAAGAGAATTTGTACTTGTAATCATGTTTAATAAGATAATAAATAATCTTGTTTAGGGAAAATATTATTATAATTCAAGTGATCGCCAATAATAGTTTTATTTGTGCATTAATATTCAACCAACATAGATTAAACAAGTTTAGGGTTAATCTAATGATTGTATGTTATTCAGAAACCGCACATGAATACGAGAAGAATAAAGTAGAGGCCTATTTTTAGGGCAAATTCAATTCTTTTAGGTTTGATTTGTACCTTCATCTCCAAACTTCCAGTCATGGTTCCAGAACTATTGGAGTTAACGATCTCCTAGATCGTTAAGGGGTGTAACCTTCACATTGTGAACGGTTTACAAGTTCCTAAAACTTATTGGCGACTCTTTTACTCTAGCTTCCTTCCCATTGGATGCCACCGTGCTTAAGTGTATGATCACAGTGGGGCTCAAGTGTAGGATTCTTGAAATATTCCCTACAGTTTTTTTGCAACTCCACTGGGGAGGATTTCTATTTTAATTCCTAAGATTTATTTTGGCAATAATTTAGAATGAGTGGATGAGACTCGAAAAATTCTAAGTATTTCATGTGCGTAATTTTGATTAACATTATTGGAATAAGCATAAAAAGGTTCGCATTGGAAAGACCATCCGTAATGCGTAAAAAACATAGGATTTTTACACGTAGGAAATCAGTGAAATATCTTTCACAACTAAAGTCGAAATAACGCTACGAAAAAAACTGGAAAATTCAAGAACAGAAAGTTGTATAGGCATGTAAGAATTAGCGCATAGAAAACAGTGTCAGCACCGAATGATGGCGCTTTCGCTTGGTGACAGTACTTGTTGTCTGGCGACAATGGCATTGTTTGGTGACAGACGCTATTTTCTTGCGCCGAATTCTTCCAATATCGAGCTAGAAATCTACCTTCTTGTTTTGACTAGTTTTCTAGTATTGTTTGCTCGATTTTACTTCCTGATTGAGTTTTTCCCTTTTTTTCGAAACCCAAATGTGTTCTACATATGGCCATAACCCTCTGGGAATTCACGCTCCATCAACCTAATCGAACGCTCTTGGCAACGACAGGTACATCCGAGTTTGTGAATTCACCAAACCGTGGAAGCAAGTTTAATTGCGGAGTCCCATACACTCGCGCCAACCCTTCCAAAGGTAAGGCTTCCGCACGGTGCATCCGGATTCATAACCATGGACCCTTTTTTACTAACCCATATCTTGAACTTTAGAGAACTAGAGCCATGGTTAGGTTGCAAACTCATTGCATCTTGTTGTAACTACTTGACTACTTGTGCATTATTTTCTTGTGCATACTTACGTGTGATTAAACTAAACGTTTGGTTTGACTTGTAATTATGAATATGCTTAAATAAACTTACCAAGGACTAAAGGACTTTGCTTAATTAATTGATTAATTAATTTGAGCTACTCCCTCTGTCCCTAAATTATATTCCTGCTTGTAAAATTACACGGGAATTAAGGAGGAAAGATAAAAGACAAAACAATAATGAAATATTTCAATGGGATGTCATCAATCCTTTGCAAAAAAAAAATAAAAAAATAAAATAAAAGGACCAATAACATGCTTTTAATTGAAAATTAAGAACCAATCATATTCATTAGGTTAGTTATGGGAAGTACAAACTTCTGAAAAATGATGGAGAGAGAAAATAAGAGTGAGATTAGGTTAGTAAGAGTGAGAAAGCATTAAATATATAACAGAAAAAGAGAGTTGATTTGGGATATTTGGAAATAAAAAACTTACTAAAAATGGAAAGGAAGAATGTAATTTTGGAATACCCAAAATAGAAACCAGGAATGTAATTTAGGGATGGAGGGAGTAATAAATATGTCTAAAATCGAGTCATAGTTCCTTTGAGTCAACCCGGTTTTTTATTCCCGTATATTGCACAAACGTCTACCTACTTTTGTCATATCCGGAGTTCTAGGAGATAGTTACGAGTCGTAAAACTTATGGATCTATAGCCTCGAGTTTTATCTTTCATTTGGTGTTAGTTTCGTCCAATTCGGAGGCACAGATAAAAGTTATGACTAAAATACGACAGCATGTCCGGTTTAGTGCACATACGTGAAGTCTTAACTAGTCTTTGTATGAATCTAGTCACATAGTCTAATAACATGGACATGACATGAGTCTTGAACAAATCACTTACACTCACAAGTATTCACACATTTTGTACATACTCTTTTCTCACCATGACCATGTCTTAGGTTCATGCATGAGTCGTTCTTTCCGTCATTTGATTTGGGGTCCACTTTATTCCTAAATTCTTCTATATATCCTCATCTAAATAATTTTTCCATTCTCTACATGCTTTCTTTATAACACAATCTTCATTCTTCCAACCTCCTTCCATCTATTGCATGTTGAATAGAGCTTGAGTAAAAAAATTAACAATAAGTATCCCCGAATTTTCCTTTCTACAACACTTGGTCAAGGAGAGAAGGGAGATTAATCAAGGACAACACCTTTGTTCAAGTAATACTTTTTGACAAACCAATTAGTCGGAAAAGAAAAGATAAGAAGATAATGGCGTCTCAGGAAGAAGTCAACAAACTTAGGAATGATATGGCCAACTTAACTGAATTGATGAAGAGTATGGCTCTTCAAATTAATGACCCTGTGAAGCAACAAAAAATGGAGCTCATGCAAGAAAGCTTGAGCAAAATATCCAATGATTATAGATTCCAGGGCAATAGCTCACGAGGGGTCTCAATGGATAAGGAACTTCTTCCGCAGAAGTTCAGTGCCACTGTCATCCTTA